ATGTTGTGTATCTGTCATTTAAAACCATTTTAAAATGCATCACCTTTTGGGGCAAAGTTTGACCCTTCTTGTGAGCTCTGACAGCCTCCCACACCTCTCTCCTGCCACCGGCCCAGGTTGTGGACGTGTTGCAACCCTTCTTTGTAAGACACCCCGTAGAGTCCAGCCCTTTTCCTACTTCACAGCTGTCCCCTATTGCAGAGAGATGGAGTGAAGTCTTGCTGTGAAAGGCTGTGTACCCAGCTGGGCAGCCTTTGAATGCCACCCTTCAGTTTTTGCTCTGCTGAGCTCCACAGGGGCGGGAAGGAAAGGAGGCAGAACTACTGCAAGGAGCAGTGGCCAGCTTGGCTGGCTTACAGAGACCAGCTATTAATTAGGGTGGTTGAAAACACTGGACTTTCTGCAGTGATTGGAAAGGCCACAGTAGGGAAAACTTTCACTGGGCAGGTAACTGCAGCAGCTCACTACAATCCTCCTCTGAAAAGGCAACAAAGCTGGTGAACCAAGAAATAAAAAGAGCTTCCACCAGTGAATCACTCAAGCCTGGTAACTGGAAAACAAGGGATACTTGTGGCAAATATTGCCCTGGAATAGGAGCGTCTGTCAAAGGGACCAGCGTTCAACTGAGAGGGGAACATGACTGGGGGACTCAAACTGGGGCCAGGATCCAGACAGCTTTGGAGTTCCAGCCCCGGCTCGGGTAGACGCTCTTACGTGGCTCAAACAAGGAATGCTTGCCTTCTGCAGGACCTAGAAATGGTGCTGAGCTATACGACAGCAGCTAAGTCAGCATCTTCGAGCTGTCTCTGAATCCCTTATTCCCTCCCACAACCTGCTTCTTCTTGGACACAAGTGATGAGGGCTTCCTTCCCTTTGGGCACGGTGGAGCTGGGAGGAGGTAGCTCATCGCTCAGCGAGTGTTTGTTGTGGCGTTAATTCAGAAATGTTCTCGGTCCTGCTGGCCCGTCTCATGGGGCATCTGCCTGTTTTAGTGAGCGTGATGATGACTGAGCACTGAGGTGCTGTAGACCAGCGTTTCTCAACCGGTGGGTCACAGCCCAAAACTGGGTCACAAGAATATATGAAAGGGTTGCAAACAAATTTTAAAAAGGGATTCTCCTTTAAAGGAGAAAAACATGGGAACCTGTGGGTTTTCCCTTGCAGGCTGGCAGAGCTCCAGCCTGCAAGGGGCTGCGTGGGGCCCCCTGTGCCCCACACACTGGGTGGACTGGGGCTTGGGGGCAGGGGACAGTGGTTCAGGAGTGAAGGGCCCTGGGCCGGGACTGGCCATTGATGTTTACGCATGGGTTCTGGTACAAAAAGGTTGAGAACCAGCGCTGTGGACTACTTGCATGCGACTCAGATACACCTGATGGCCAACCCACTCTAGCCAGGTGTCGCAGGCCTGGGGGAGGATAAAGGCTAAAGATGGCAAGTTTTTTTTGCAACTTCACCCCTGACTTTCAATTCCCACAGACTTTCCTTGGCATTGTTAGCAGATCTCCCCACCATGACACTCCCTTTGTGCTTTCCCCATTTTATCTTTACCTGCTGGCTTTCAAAAGATCTCTCTCCCACTGCATCCAGGACCTTGGGCAAGTGTGAACACCCTTGATAGGCCTGGCAACCCCACCTCTCTCTTTGCCCGTCTGTTGTTCCTGGACAAGCTGTACCTTCCTATTTCAGTGCTTTAGTCCTGAATTTTCCTACCAAGTTTCTCTTTAATAGATTCACAGATTGTTAGGGGCTGGAAGGGACCTCGCAGGTCATCGGATCCAGCCCCCCGGATTGGGTCCAGCCCCCCACTTACACCACTTAAGTTATGATTTTGACTGTTTATTACAAATCTCGGTCTCTTCTGTTTCTTCTCTGTTCTTCTGGTACACAGCCACCTAAGCTGATGAGAAGGTCTGTGCTCCTCTTCTCTGCTAGATCTCTTCTTAGACTGTCACCCATGGGGGAAGCTTCCTCGTAACACCACTGCACAGCCTGGCATTCATCTCTGGGCTGCAACTGTCCCAGCTTAGGTTTTTACCCGCCTTTAAGGTTTGGAGAGAACACTACCTGGGAGAAAGATGCTTTGTGTATTTTTAAGCCCAGCTTTTCATACCCAAGAACTTTGGTTGATTTAGGTACAAATCCAAACTTTTTGGACTTCTTCATACTGAGCCCACATGTCTCAAGTTGAGTCTTCTGCCTCTGAAAGTGAGCGCGGTGATGCTGGAATCTGCATTTTCTCTTGCAGCTGGTCGGTTTGTTTTGTGGAAATGGGATCGGTTGTGTTTGCGCTTGGTGGCACATGCAGAAGGTGACGCTTGGGTCCAGGCTGCACTTGTCAACATTTGGTAACAAAACTTGGTATGCAGCGCGGCCTGACAACTTTGAGAAAAGGGCATTTGTTTCTCCGAGTTGCTCAGTCTGCTATTTTGAGCTTTCTGTCACTGGCAACCTTTTCTTGATTGCGTTTTGTTCTGGAAATGCAAGCTGGTGCTTGGATCCTGAAATGCACTGTTTTTCACAATGCAGTTCCCCTCTTTCCAATATTTTGTCATCTCTGACACTTGTTTATTGTATTATTTTGGTACCTAAAGACTCTGGTCCAGCATCATGGCCCCGTTGTCCTAGAGTGCATACACACATTATGGAAAAAACTCCTGTCCCAAACAGATTACGGGCAATATGTGTGATGCGAAGCAGAAGATGGATACAGAAAAAAAGATGGGCTACAATAAACCCTAGGCAACTGATTGTATTGGATTTCGCTGACAGCCATCACCACAATGTCTCCTCAGCATGGCATGTAAGGGACATTTTTAGTGTCAGCTGAGGCAAATGGAAGTTCTTGAATTTGGCAAAGCCATCCTGAAGACCTGCTCCCCATAACAGCATCTGCAAAGATCAAGAACCACTTTCATAGCTGAGGAAACAAAACCTGGGGAAGATGGGAGATCTTGTCATGCAGCATATTTCTGCCTCGCCCAGGAATCAGACAGTACGGTAAGTGAGGTCTGCTTTTTATGACAATGTGGATGCACTGAGATCTTGGTAGCTCTTTACCATGTGAATTTCAATACGTTCGTATTACTTTTTGAGGACCATCTGGTGACTAATTTCACACCTACAAAATAATGCCAGCATTTTGATGAGATGTCTCATTAGTTCTTTTTCCTTGACGGCTTCAGGCATGCCAACAATCATTTCAAAATGGCCAGAATTTCTATCCATTTTCTTCACGCTGAAGCTTATTTACCTTAGAAGTAATTGGAATATGAAGTCTGATGTTTCCTCGTATTGTTGGAAGACCTCTGGGTATGTGCTGTTGGGAGTTTTTACATCTTAACTGAAAGGGTGTTGCATGTTTGATCTTTAATAATGATATCCTTTCTAATGAAGTAATTGTTCATAAAAACATTAGGGAGCAAGAAGAACTATTTAAGCTAAAGGACAATGTTGGCACAAGAACAAAGTGAGATAAATTGGTAATGAATAAATATAGGTTGGAAGCCAAAAGAATAGTCTTCTCATTGGAGTAGTGGGAGCAACCTACCTACCTAGTTTTAATACAGAGTTTGATACATTTGGGAAAGAGATTATAGGACATGGTTGTCTGATACAGCCAGGGACTAGACTATATGACCCTGGAGGTCTATTCCAGCCCTACGTCCTATACTCCTAGATGCAAATGGAAATAAAACTTTCAAACTGTCAAACTAAAGATCTCTTTCCCTCCCTATAGCTCAGCTTGCAGTCTCCTGTGATGCCATAATTTTATTAAATGCTGTCGATTTAATACCATTCTTAATATACAAAAATTCCTTTATGCCTCAGAAATATAGGTGAAATATAGGTGAAAGTGTTTAGTGCAGTCCAGTGACTGGAGCAGTTGATTAGGAGTCAGGCGTCCTGGGCTCTGCTCCTGACTCTGCCACTGGCTTTTGTGATCATGGGTCAGTCAGATTGTCTCTCTACTTCCACTTCGACACTGAGTCCATGTCTTTTATTTAGGTTATTTTTACTTTCAGGCTGATAAACCACCAAGTCTCGCTGGTTTGTGGCTGCCTTTGTTTTTGTATAAAACTTAGTCCAGTGGTTTTCAAACTTTTTGGGTTTGTGGACTACAAGCTCCTTGGAGATGGGACCTTCTCTTTCTAGAGCCCTGCTCTGGGCTGCAGCCTTAAGGTTTGGTTGTAATACAAAGGGGAAAAATAATAAGTGATTTTGTGCTGGTTACTTTTAGGAAACCTCTGGATTATAGAATATGAAGCCACAGGCTGGTGGAGCCCTATTGATCACATTGGTGAAAATTGTCACTTACACAGTCCATGATGCCAACACGTGAAGCCTGTTTAATCCTCAGTTGTATATGTGCATCTTGGTGCCAAGCTGCATCTCTGCTGACATATTGGCTCAAATAAAAACCCAGTAACATTTGTGCAGCTTTATGCATCAGAGAGAATTAGGTGCTTGGCTTACAGCGCTGCTATCTAACAATTTTCCCAGGATGGACAAGAAACAGTTCTTCTGATGGACAAAGTGCAAAGTACTGTTGTTAAGGAGTCTTCTAAGTGTGCTTGGCTGTCTGGCTTCAACCAGTGAGGATGGGCTGGAAAAAACCAAAAAACAAGCAATTTAGAAATGAAATGAACCCGAAGTGCTACCTTTCAGAGCAGCCGCCTTTTCTTACTTCCTTGTTGTCTGTTCTAAAAAATAAAAAAAAGTCTTCCAAAAGAAGCTCTAAATGTGCCTCGCTAATGCATCAAATCCCTGCCAAGCAGATCTTTTGTTAAATTGTCTGTGCTATATCAAAACTCTGGACTCAGCAGTGCCTGGTCGGAGAGGTTTTGTCTGGTCAGCATGAATTTTAAAGCCTTCTATTCCTGCTGTATTGTTCAACTGGCCTCGCGATACCAGCCTTGTCTCCCTTCACTGATATATAGAGAGGTGGCCATCACATTTCTGGTTTGGCTTCTACTTTGGCACTGGATGGCATCCAGCTGAAAATGTCTCAGTATTCGGGAAAAGTAAGTAAAAAACAAAAAAGCTGCTTAGTTTTCATTCAGCACAGGCCAAAGAGCCAAACTTCTCTGTAGGCAGAGGAGGCATTTTCCTAGGTTAGGATAACACAGAATGACATGTGTATGATGAGACGGTAAGTCATGAGTGTGGAGAAATGGAAGCAAATTAGGAAAGGAGGTGGGAAGAAAAGCAACATCGTCGGCTGTATTTTGATAGCTGCGCTTCTTGTGTAAACATGTATGTTAGCAATATTTATAAGCGCACAAGAGGTTGCACAAAAACCATGTGTAGTGTTGAAAACTTGAGAAGTGCTGTACTCCCCATTAAAACAAACCCTCCAGTGACAATACCTCTGGCTGGATACAGCATGTATGTGAGAAGCCCCCATCAGCTGAGAACAGCGATGTACGGGACGGGTAAGCTGTCTGTGTTTGCAACACTGCATCTTCTTCTTCTTCATTTCAGATTATTTTCTATGAGGGCAAATACTTCACGGGCAGAAAGCTAGAGGTCACTGGGGACTGTGATAACTTCCAGGATAGAGGTTTCATGAACCGCGTGAACTCTATCTGCGTCCAGAGCGGAGCTTGGATCTGTTACGATCACCCCGACTTCCGCGGACAGCAGTATGTCCTGGAGCATGGCGAGTACCCTGACTTCTTTCGCTGGAATGCCCACAACGACCACATGGGCTCCTGCAGGCCTGTCGGGATGGTTAGTGCCAACTTTCCACTAGTTTCCAAGAGGGTTATTTTTGTTGCTGAAATACCTGGGTGAAAGGGTCATGTCTATGTCTGTATTTTTCGTGGCAACCGGAGTCTAAATAAGTCTTTGTGAGACAATGTGTCCTATGGAAGTAAGAGTTAAAAAGAAAACAGCATCGTGTAACCATTTCCCCTTTTTCTAGGACAAGGAGAAAACTTGTGTTGTGCGCCTTCCCGTCACCAGCTCTAATAGGGAAGCATTTCCCTGTGGTTTTAGTAATGCCCCTGAGCATCATCACATGCACTTATTTTTAATGTTGAATATTTATGAAATATTCACATGCAAAGGAGGAGCAAGCTTCTGTGCACGGGGCAGATTTGAGCTGCAATATTTTGCTTTCTCCTCTGTGCACTGAACTCCTAATGATGCCGGCTGGCCAGCTAGGTACTCAGGAAGACCGGCAACTGGTATTAAGGTGCAGCATGGAGAGTAGACGCTGCTGTGGGCAGCTTGTAGGTTCTGGGCTAATTCGCCCAGGTACCTCACCATGTTTCAAAGTCTGGGCGTCCCTGGATTAAAAATAACCATGACCCAGATCAAACGCCCCCAACAGCAGCAAAAATATCATGATGAAAGCTGAGCAGGGAACTGTCGCACGCAAAGGAGGCAGTTTAATTGGGAAGATTTAGAACTGGCGAATATGTATCCTGTTTTTTTTCTTTCCAGTTGGTTCTGTCTTCATTTGCGCCTGGCAGGAGAATGACTGAAGAGAATTACCCTGAGGATGGGAGGTTATTTTTACTTTCAGGTTGATAAACCACCAAGTCTTGCTGGTTTGTGGCTGCCTTTGTTTTTGTATAAAACTTAGTCCAGTGGTTTTCAAACCTTTTGGTTTGTGGACCCCTTTGGAAATTTCAAATGGAGGTGCGGACCCCTTTGAATTGTAAGTGTAGGCATTCACATACTTTTGATTGATTGTAGTCATCTTTTACAGACCCTGCAGGCATAGTCTGTGAACCCCAAGGGGTCCGCAGACCACAGGTTGAAAACCACTGTTCTAGCCCAAAGGGAACAGGGGGTTGGGGTACACGAGTATACATAGGGGCATGGTCTTGTGCATGCACACGTGAATAGCACATGAGCTAAAAACAAGCGGAGATGCAGATAAAAGCTCTCATGCTGCTCTCCAGTTCAGGAATCAGGGCATGGCTCACATGCAGGTCATGGGAAGTCCTGTACGTTGGTTGTTTAGTATCCAGTAAGCTAAAGCTGCATTGTGTCCAAAGGGACCTCTCCTTGAACAGATCCCCTGAGGAGGGACCCTGTTCCCCATAAATAAATCTGAGTTCAGCTTCGCCCACAGGGATTCATCAGCCAGGGAGCACAGCTGCCGAAGGAACTATTTCTTCTTTACTTTTGAAGTGCCATGGGAAGATACCAGTGGGAGTTGTGCTAACTAACGTAGACTGGCGTGTCTCTCCTACGAGGCTCCGGGGGTGGGTGCTTGGAGGATCCTACCCAGAGGTACCTTAGACCTCTTTCAGTGATGTGTGGCTGGGGCTTACAGTCTCTTGATACAGTGCATGGGAGAAGAACGAGGGATGCATTTATCCATCTTGTTCATTCACATGCGATGAACATGTGGCCCACCAGATGACCCCATCACTTCCCCCTTAGTGTTAATGGATTTTTTCCTTCTTTGTTGGTGCTGCCTAGTGCCTATTGCCGACTTCCAAGAGTGCCGTAAAGCAGGGACAGCACGTGTGCCACAAGTGACACAGCAGCCTCTGTGTGTGGCCCATGGCAGACTGGAGGGGGACCGGGGAACACTGCGACAAGTAGGGCAGGGAGCAGAAAGCAGAGCAGTAAATCAGGCAGGGCACATAAAGCGCAGAGAAGCAGATCAGGTTGGGGGAAAGGGGATCGGAGTGGTACCTGGGGTAGGTGCGGGGCTTATTTTGTGGCCCGCCTGCCACAAGAAGCAAAAGACTGTATGTACCGCACGAAGTCTTGACTCCGGCCATAGAAAAGACTCAACGTGCCCACAGCCGTGAATGCTTTTCTTCCATTCTGGCCTCGAGCCCTGTCATTTTTTCGCATTAGATATGAGTGAGAGGTTTAAAGCATGCCAGCAATTCAGATGCACTGAGGAATGTTTGGTCAGGAACGGTATCTGAGATTCCACCGCCGGAGAATGAATGCTATAGGTGTTTTGGCACTCCAGGGTAGCTTTTTCATGCATTAATGATGCTTATATGTAAAATATATTAGGTATTCTCTGAATTTAGCTAAAAAAATACCTCTTCTGCTAACTCCATCCCAAATACAGCAACATTTCCCCAAAGGAATTGACCTCAATTCACCCGCAAGGACTCACATAACTAATACTCCAATCATGGTATTTCTTCCCTCCCCTTCCCTCCCCTTTTCCTCATTCAAGAAAAGCACATCTTGCACAAGCAACCACAGATATGACTGAACCTGAAGGAAAAATTGAATGATTTTAGGGAAATAATACAATGTCTCTGTGTATTTTGGATTTGTTTATTTTTTTTATAAGTCTGCTCAGTTTATTTTTTCTGCACGGTGTTCTTACTCTTTTGTTCATGCGGTATTTTCTATGTATCACGATGGGTTTTTTGGGTGGATTTATGCTCTAGGGCAGTGGTGCCCAAACTTTTCACCCCATGGGCTGGATGGGTGGTGCCAAGGCTGGCTCCAGTTGATGGGCCCAATCTGGCACATGGCTATACAGCGAAGGGGTGCAGGCCAGGCAGCAACAGGTCAGCCCGGGGCCAAATCTGGCCGTACAACAATAGCTCTGCCTGGTCCTAGCGCCGCTGTGCAGGACTTGGAAATTTGGCAGTGAGTGGGGGATGGCAGTTCATAACCACTGTTCCCCCACTGCCAAATTTCCTGGCCTGTGGGGAGCCCTATGGGCTGGATGCCACAGCTCATTTGGGGCACCCCTATGCTATGGGGCTCAGTTAGAAGTATTACTTGTGCGGCATGTGTCTTTGGAAAGGGTGTCAAGGTATTTGTTTTTTGGGGTGGGGAGCGTAGCTGGTCACACCAGCAGTCTGTTTGCATGTGAACAGTGATTGTGGAGGTGTGTGGACGTTTGCAGTCATGCGCTTGATGGAGCAACGTGCCCGTGTATATTTTTGTGTGGAAAGCCATTTGTGAGGGACATCTACATGCTTGTAGGGAGGTACTTCTCCGTGGTACGTGCCACGTGTTTGTGGGCCGGCAGTATGATGGTTAGACTGTTTTTTACGTTTCCATAACGAAGGCCCCTACTTTCTTTGTGTTTATCTTGCAAAAGCAGGAGGAACCATTTTGATGCATGTTTTCGGTTTACTCCAATCCCTTTGTCCCCAGCACGGCGAACATTACAGAATTGAAATATTTGAGGGGAACCAGTTTGGAGGGCAGTCCATGGAGTTCACTGAGGATTGCTCTTTCCTGCAAGGCCGAGGATGGAGCAAGAACTGTGTCAATGCTGTCAAAGTTTATGGAGATGGAGCGTGAGTAACCTGTGGGCATTTAAGGAACGTAACTGCTTGTCATCTGTCTTAAAATCCAGTGAAACTACCTCCTCCTCAGATATCCTTGTAATGAAAGACATGGGAACTTCAAAGGACATGGATCCCTTGAAAAATTCCCGTGAAGAAAGCGGGGGATTCGACTACCATGTGCTACACATCAACAGCCTGGTGACAATAGAAAGCTCCCTATTGATATCAATGGAGCTGAATCAGGCCTGAAGACACTAGCCAAGCCTATATTTTCCAAAGTGACTGGTTATCTGGTTACTTCAAATTTTGGGTGCCAAGCTTGAAACACCTTAAGTATGCTCAGTGCTTTCTAAAAAATCTGCCTCCTTTAAGGTGACTCAGGCAGGGCTCCTGAGACCACTAGTCATTTGTTAACAAACTTAGAGGTGTGAAAAGGATTTGACCCTATGAAAGTAGAGGAAGGTCAGCCATTCTGATCTCTATATTTAATGTGTTTGGGGTTTAAATGTAAATTCAATAATCCTGACATCTGCAAAAGTTGCTAAGTACTTGAGAGTCTTCCTGGAAGGGTTAATCATCCATATCGACATAGTTTGCAAACCTCTTCCCTTCTAACAGACAAAATGAGATGCCATCAAAAGCTTTATCTTAGAATAAACTGGCTCTCTGCAGGAGTGTCAGCCATCAGCTAAAATGTAGTGGATGCAGCAGTGGTGTAAGGAGCCAAGTTGGCACCTGGGCAAACCCTGCAAGAGAGCGGGGTGGGGTGGGGGAGAGCATGCAGTTCCCAGAGCCGGGGTAGAGAGGATGTGGGTGCAAGAGCAGGGTTGCAGGGGTGAGGAAACAGCAGCCTGGGAACTTCTAAACAGTCCCAGCTGGGCTGCGGGCATGCTCTGCCCACCCCAGCTCTGTTGCTTTTAAAGCTACAGGAGCTGAGAACTGTTTTGAAGCTCCTGGCAGGGCAATGTTGTTAGGACACAGACTCCGGTGCTGTGGGGAGGACACGTCCAGTGTCCCTCCTAACTTGGCGCCAGAGGCAGGTGTCCCTCCACCTAACCCTAGTTATGCTACTGGCATTCAGTATCATACATGGGTATCTGGGTCACTATTTCATGCTGGCTACTCTTTAATAGCCACATGGAAAGGTAGGGGTGGATAGTCTGTGGCAGGGGATTGCAGTCACCCAAGGCTCTGGGCTGGATCCAGACTGTAGGGGCTCCGCGCGGGCTGGACCCACATTCAGGTGGCAGCCCAGAGATCCCAAACTCTGCAGCGGGCCGTGCACCCCAGCCTCCAGGCGAAATGGAACGATTTCATGGGCTGAATCTGGCCTGTGGGCCATATGTTTGATACCCCTGGTGTATGGTGATTGGGGAGCTGTTTGTCCCCTTGATATAAGTTAAAATCCAGCCTAGATGAACAAAGAGTGACTGCATGTGATGGCTGGTTGATGGGCTCTGTGAAATGAATTGGACGCCTCAGTCCGGAGCTGAATGCCCAAGTATTTACCCCACAAGATCAACGCCGTAGCCAGCTCTAACTGAGACCTATGGGACAGTATCAAGAAAGAGCCTAAGAAATGATCTGGCAGGGAGAGTTGACCACTCTTTTTAATGGCTGTTGTTCCAGGTCAAGGTAGAGCCATGTCAATGGGACATTATGGGGGTATTAGTGAGCTGTAAAGCTTGCTCACAGTGTGCTGGCTTGCTATGCTTGTGGGTCAAGGGAGTGCAGTCAGGGGTAGGAGGGTCATGAAGATAGGACCTGCTTCATGAAGGTGAAGATGGGTCCTGCTTACCCAGGCTCAGCTAGAAATCTTGTCCCTAGCCTGGCTTCATGGCACTTAGAGAAGGGCTGACATTATAGAAACTGAAGCTGAATTTCATGTGGCTCTCACATACCTTGCATTTGTGGGGGGCGGGGAGTGTTCAGATGCAGGGTGTTGGGTTGGGCTCATCTCAAGCAAGGCAGATACCAGAGGTCAGGGAAACATTTGCATGAGGGGCATACATGGGGGTAAAACTGGGGAGCTAACTCAGCTTGAATCCACACCCACGCTGGCAGACTGACCTGAAAAGGGAGCAACCCAGGGCTCTGTTTCCATACACTCACCCTTGGCAGCTGCGAGTCCCTATAAATCATAAGGTCAGCTTTGGCTCCATTTCTTACCACCATTTGCAGAGGACTTAGAGCGATAACATGAATGGGCCAGACCTTAGGACCCAGGAAAGCAGGCGGCCCCTTGGGGCACTGTTCTTCCCAGGAGCCGCACATACCATGCAAGCTGAGTATCATGAGCCTGCCGGTCTCCCTCTGAGACTGGAAGGGGCAGGAAAAGACCACTGCCAGACTCCCTCCTGTCTCTGGCAGCCGGCTCAGAGGAGGAGGAATTTGGCCTGATTTCCCCTCCTGGCAGCTTGGGACCCATCTCTTGCTTGCAGTCTCTGCAGCTTATAGCAGTGGCCTCATCGGAGTTCAGTGCACAGCGCACTGCAGTGCTAATGTCCCGATCTCTGGTTAGCCAGGACTCTCCAGTATAGGCAGGTCATTTGTTCTTCATGTCCTCCTTACCCCACTACACACGTCTGCCCCCAACAGCTGTGTGCACCTGGCATTGCTCTTCTCCTTATGCAGAGGATGGGTGATCTTGTGGTGAAGGCACAGAATTGGAGTCAGGAAACTTGGGGTCTGGTCCCAGATAGAGAGTCGGCTTGGCCTTGGACAAAGACACTGAGGCCCAGACTTCAAGCCTGAGCGTTGAAGGCCTGGCACGAAGGAGAGCCTGGTTCTCAGAGGTGTTGAGCTGCTTTGGGATGCACTGAATTCAGTAACATCCCTAAAAACCACTGCCCGAGTCAGTGCCTCGCCCTATAAATGTAGATTTCTAGCTTCTGTCACCTGGTTTGAACAGTTTGGGCTTGAATTTCTCCCTGCACCTCCTTCTCCCTAGTTTTAAGATAAAAGGGTACCACTTGCCTATATCACAGCAAGGGGTGGAGGGGTTGGGGGAGGGTGAGACTATGTCCATTGCTGTCCTGTGAGCTTGGAAATGCCAGATCCTGTCGCCCCAACGTTTTCGGCTCTCCATAAAATCCACTATAAAACTGGACTTGTTCAGAGTTAGTTACATAGGCTGGAAGGGACCTCCTGGGTCAGAGAGCCCAGACCCTATAACTGCTGGCATCTTGGCAAAATGTATCTAACAGTGTCCACAAGGACATCCTCTTTGGCCCTTCTCACTTATTATGGTCCCAAAGCACCCGATAAATGAACAACCTGCCTCCCTTCATGCAAAGAGGGCAGGGGATTAGTCTGTGCATTTGTCACCATATAATGGGAATGAGCCTTTTTGGAATAACAGCGTCTCCTCCTCTAGGGAGCACGTTTGTTGTTCTTGTTATGTTACCGGTTATTTTTCTGTTGTCATTGTGCCCTGTTTCCTCTTACAAACAAACACGTTTTCATCGGGAGTGGGGGATGGGGCGGGGAAGAAAGCTGCAGGACTCTCTCGGAGCCAGGAAGTGCTTGGCTTGTGCAAGGCACAGCTGGGACTCTGGTTACTGACGATGTTTTCGTGCCAAGAGAGCATCTTGGCTTAGGGGTAGCAGCCAAGAAAACGAAGCTGTGGCTGAAAGAAGTCAGAGCAAAGGTGTGCTGCGCACACCCTGGGATGCGTCTCTCTGTATGGGGGGAGGCTAAACTATATTGTTGTTCATCTCCCACTTACAAACCATTTAGTCTCCTTATGATGGTGTCTTCTTTCAAAGCCGTTTACCCTGTAAAACTCCCGAAATCCCAGCGCTGTCACGTTCCCGCACTACGTGTCCAGCAGCAGTCTCTCTCATTTAAGGCAGATGTGCCTGGCTCCAGGTGTTCCACTAAGGACTTTGTTCCTGCCATCAGATTTATGTGGATTTTATAGCAATGGGCAACAGTAGAAAGCTGATAGACTGTGAGTAATCAAACGCTGCTTTACCCCTTGTCCTGGCAGCTCAGGTCAGGTCAGAAGTGCCGCATGCCAGTGCATGACTGATGCACTCTGAAAAGACATGTCATCCCAGCATGCCTTGGGCCGGAGCTGCAGTGGTCTGCTCTCCAGAGACTGTCGTTCTGGTGAGAGAGCCCTTCCGGGCTGTTCGCTAGGGAGACTTTGCATGCTCGCTGCTTGCTCGGAGAAGGGAAAACGTCCTAAAAGCTACAGGGTGCAGGGTTTCTGTAAAAGAAGGTTTGCTTGGCTCTTCCTAGCTCTGCACCAATGCACAGGGCTGTTATCCAGAAAGCTGCCACTTTTCTGGGCTCTGACAGATCTGCTGTGTGACTGCTTCTGCTCTGTGCCTCATTTTCATCATCTGTGAAATGGGGCTAACTGGACTTTCCCACCTTTGTAAAGTGCTATGAAATACATGGATGGTAACCGCTATATGTGCATGTAACAGCACTTACAAAAGCTGATCATGCCATCCCTCCCCTGACCTTACCCTCCAAGGCCCCTGGTTAAGAATCCGTCCTGCCAGATGAGGAGGGTGCCTGGCACAGCTCTGGGTCCTGCATCAGGCCAATCTACCTTTGAAACTCCAGAAAGGCTCAGGACACAGGACTGAGTCCTGATACTGCGTCACCCTGCTCTCTCAACCACCACCTTACCGAATGTCTTATTTTCAGACCATTCCCAGCTCCTTCCAGCCAGAGAATTCAGGCTGAAATGTAGCGTACATTATGTTGTGTGCAATTAAAACAGTCCTGAAGCAGGCTGTTCCTCTCAGTTACCTTCCAGCAAACGTCTGCCTCTACACTCAGTTCTGTCCTGCATGAACCTGTGATCAGGCACAGCTTTTGTAAAAATACTTGCTGCTTTCCATGGAGCAGTGAAAGCCTAAGCATCCGCATTTCTGAGATGGCAAGGATGAGTAGCAGAGGTTGAAGTGGCCATGCAGCAGGTTGATGTCAGGAAGAGAGACCAGCTTACTGGACTCCCTAACCATTAGATCAAATTGCCTCTAGGAAGACCTATAGTTCCATATATCCCACGTCCATCTTGATAATGTATCCTTTACATCAATATCTGTCCGTATTCCCCCCTGCACTATGTCAGCTGGGTACAGGAATACTCACTTTCTCTCAGTTCTCGTGTAGTGTTGCTGGGGGCTGCTGAACAGCCGCTGTATTGTGCGACAGGGGTAGCTACCGTTACTGGATGCTATATGAAGACATACATAGATACATAGATACTAGGGTCAGAAAGGACCTCAACAGATCATCGAGTCCGACCCCCTGCCCTGGGTAGGAAAGAGCACTGGGGTCAGATGACCCCAGCCAGATGCCCATCCAGCCTTCTCTTAAAGACCCCCAAGGTAGGGGAGAGCACCACCTCCCTTGGAAGCCCAGTCCAAATTCTGGCCACCCTTACCATAAAGAAATTTTTCCTGATATCTAGCCTAAATCTGCTCTCTGTCAGTTTGTGACCATTGTTCCTTGTTACCCCAAGAGGCGCCCTGGTGAACAGAGCATCTCTGATCCCTTGCTGTGCCCCCCTAATGAATTTGTAGGTGCCCACGAGATCACCTCTCAGCCTTCTCTTGCGGAGGCTGAAGAGGGCCAGGTCCCTCTGTCTCTCCTCATAGGGTTTGGCCTGCAAACTCTTAACCATGTGAGTGGCCCTTCTCTGGACCCTCTCCATGTTATCCACATCCTTCTTAAAGTACGGTGCCCAAAACTGGACGCAGTACTCCAACTGCGGTCTGACCAATCCTGCATAGAGGGGAAGTATCACCTCCTTGGATCTATTTGTCATGCATCTGCTAACACATGAGATGATATATATACTAATAAACAGTGCACCATCTGAATGAAATCTCTGTCCCTCTCATGGTGTGTGGATAGCACCAAGCAAAATAACAGGATCATAGGACAGTAGGGCTGAAGGGACCTCATGAGGTCATCTAGTCCTGCCACAGGATCATCTCTAACTAAACCATCCCACTCAAGTGTCTGTCTAAGCTGCTCCTGAAAATTGTCAGAGACGGTGATTCCACCACTTCTTTTACCAGTGGGTAGCAGATGTAGAGTAGATACAGAGGTAAAATGGCTTGAATTTGGTAGTTGCTCTATTGCTACATGAAGTGGCTGGGGATGAGTCTGAAACAAGGACCCATATAGTCTGACCCAAGAATCACTAAAACACAGAAGATACATTTCAAATAAGTGCATAAACCTTAAAGCCTTTTGCATTCTTCCCATGCAGAGGATTGTGGCTTTTCAGAACCTAGATCCATTTAAGCCTTGGGTGCATTCAAGAGGAGTGAAGGATGAGGCAGATATGAGGTTTCCAATGGAGATGGAGTGGGGACAGGTGTATACAGGTAGTATCAGAGAGGTGAGAAAAGTGTGGATTACAAACAGAGGAGATTTGTGGCCAAGGATGATGCTAAGTTTATGGAAGACCAGAAGCAAAGGGAAAACAGCATGAGTTTCACCTTGAGCATAGAGGATGACGTGAAGCAACAGTTTTGCTTTGTCAAGGCAGATAGAAGGATGAAGCATACCAAAGTCATCAAGGACGTACAGTGATGTATCCAGCCGAGTATCATCCCTCTGAAAGTGGTAGTTCATGTTAAAGGCAAAGATACATGGACCCAAAGTTACTTTTATAACTAAGAAGGCAATTCATGAAAATCAAGTGTATTTAGATTGTTTGGGGCACTATTTTTTTTTTTTTTGCGGGGGGGGACCCTCATAGTATGAGCATAAACAGTACATAATATGATGGGGCACTGATCACAGGTGTAGCCTCTAGATGCCAGTGTAAATATTAATAATAATAGAAGGACCCAAGGTAGCTGTCAACAGGGTAAAAGGCAGCACTGAAGTGAAAGAGAAGGTGTCTTCAACAGTAAAGGCTTTCAATCCAAAAAGGAGAGCAGACTGGCCAGAATAAAACCTAGGTGGAAGAAAAACATATGCTTCTGGGATGTGGTTAGTGCAAAAGCTGCCTAATTCCCTGAGTAAAAACTGAGAAAGAAGCCTAGTTGTCACACAGACTGTATTCTTGATTAATCCATGCCCTCTCCATTTTAGATGGGTGCTGTATGAAGAACCCAATTACCGCGGCCGTATGTACGTAGTGGAGAGAGGAGAGTACCGCAGCTTTAATGAGTGGCAAGGGCAGAGCACAAACATCCAGTCGCTCAGAAGAGTCATCAACTACTTTTAACTGAGTTGTTGTACTACCAAGGTCCTGGTGACACTCAGGGCCTAGCTTTGCTCTCTGTTCACTGGAAATGTGGAATAAATTCTTAAAATCAGTTTCTGGTTCTAAGTTTTGTTTCGTTTTTTAATCTGAGTCAACGGATGATGCTCTGCTACATCGCATGGTCTGACTACATGTAGATTCAAAAGCAGAATTCTGGCTTGCCTCCTCCTAGCCATGGGATCTGAATGAGCAATGCTAAATGAGCACATTATCATCATCGGAGTCTCCGCACTGATACACTGCGCCTGTGTCCAAAACCCATTTGAGTAATTGAACCTCTTTCTGCTGACTTCAGCTGGCTTTGGTTCAGACCCATTGTGTTTAAAAAAAAAGAAAAGAAAAGAAACAACAAACATAAAATCTCTGAAGGATGTCCGGGGCAGCCCAGAAAAGTGACTCATAAATCCCAAAGGCCAAAATCCACTGGAATGTTCTCACTTGGTCCACATGGCACCTTTCTTTTTTTCCTCCCTCTTAGAGAGATAAAAGGGACCACACAGCCATTTTCATCTCTTTATTGAGTCCAGTGCAACCTGTCTGCTTTTGGCTAGTTGTACCTACTGGGTATGTTCAGCTGGTTCTTCTGCACCACGGGGCCTGCTGATCTCTGTTGCAGATTCATAGTTAGTCATAAGCTACTAGGTAGGAGGGAAGGGGGAGGGAATAAGAGGAAGTGCATCTGATAAGCTAAAAGCGGTCTGTTAAATTATTTACAAACCACATAACAGGATTGCTCTTGTGCTGTCAGTGACACAAAACCCCCAAAGGTCAAATGACCCCCTCCCATAGGCACATAATCTGCACTCATGGGTTTGGAGCCATTTATGAAGGGGTAATTGTATTCTTTTCACTCCATCTACATACTATATTGGTTTATTTTATTTGCTGTTCAGGCTTATTTGTCTGATGGTTACTGACAGGTACTGGCAAAATTCCCGCAAGGCCAAAGCGTAGCTTCTTTGCTCTCTGTTAATCCGCTGGAAAGCCTGCTGACCTCACCACTTTAGCTGTCTCTTCAAAGGGATGCTAGCAAGGCTGACAGGCCCAGAGTATATCAAAATGTGAAAGAAGAGTACACTTACAATGGGTTCATATGCCCTCTGGGGACTTTGCTCTGTCCTTGTGGGCTGGCAGTAGAGTCAAATGCACAAGATCCTGGCTTTCAGCATGAGCACAGAGATGAGCAGGAGGGCAGACTGATCAGCTGCACAGTTTAATGGGGCCCTGGGTACACTGGGAAAGAAGGGCATTGACACTGCATGTATTCAGGATCCTGTGACCCTGGCTCATAACATGGGGCCACAGAAACATTGCTGACTATCTGTTTTTCCTTAAATAAAATGGATAACATCCCCCCAGTGTTGAACCTAGAAAGTGGGTGTCGCAGAGCACTTAGGTGCCCTGCGCCTGAGAACAGGGATGGCTCCAGAGAGTCCCCTAGCGGTGAGAAGGGGGAGGCGCAGCCACCAGTCACCAGGGCAACACAGGTGCTGGTTGCTGGGGCAACCAGCGAAACCCCTTGACAGGAAGGGGCAGGGCTTCGCCCTTCTTAAACCCAGGCAGGAGACTAGGGTGGCAGGTCCTCCTCTGACAGCCAAGGAGTGAGGAACTCAGCCAGTGCGGAGAGAAGGCTAAGGTTTGGCTGCACGAGTATCCGCGGGTTGCTGCCATGAGCTGAAGTATTTTTGCCTGGTAGGGATTAACTGTTGTCTGACCAGGCGATTTAGCTTTATGTTATAGCCCGGGGGCTTTGTGTTTTGTGTTTACTGTTTAACTGGAGGACCGGATGAGGCTCTTAGGGGTGGAGCAGGCCTCATAGGGACTCCCCAGTAGTGGGGTGGGGGTTCCTGGTGCCGGAGAAGGTGCAGTATGTTGCAGGGTGCATTGGCCTAGCCCCAAGAGTGCAGAGGGGCGGTGAGGAGCCCCGAGAGTGCAGAGGAGCCCCGAAAGTGCAGAGGGGTGGCAAGGAGCCCCGGGAGAGAGAGAGAGCAGGGGCAATGAGGAGCACTGAGGGCAAAAGGAGGGCCTAGACATAGCAGGGCCAAAGTCGGATCACACCAGCACCATCTGCAAGGCTTGGGCTGCGGTGTAGGGGAGGAAAAGGAGCTGCAGATAGCGCCCCCTGTCATCGGGGCACGTAGAAATGGGCAGCCTCCCGCTAATTACAGCAATCTATTAATTAAATAAGATCAAGGCGTGGCAGGCGAGTAAGCAGGTGGTTGACCCATTACAGGAGGGCGGAGCCATACCCGGAGAGGCTCCAATAGTGGCACTCCTGTCACAGTGGGTTTTAAACCTAGTGCTCTGAGAATTGACACAACACTTGGTTCATGAATAGTAGAAAGGCTTGTTGTAATAACTACCAACAAGCTACAAAACTAAATAACAGAAAAAGACTCTTTCCCAATATAAAACAAGCTATTAGTCCTTAGTATTATCTTAGCTGCACAGAGATTTTTACCCAATGCAGGCAGGAACCAGTTCTTGTACAGCCTCAAAGTGTGCATCCTTCACTTGTTGGCTGGGTGGCAGGATGGCTTGGTCTGGACTGCACACACCTTGCTGGCAAATCTGCTTAGTTTTTATACTGTTTAATTGTATAGCTTCAAAGCATTTTTTCCTTGATGATTGGCTGATGAGAGTTCAAACAAACAAGGAGGAAAAGGTTGATCATCATCATAACACAACTGTTAATTGCCTGGCTCCTGTTCTGGATTTGTCTAGGTGTGAAGACTGTATTTTTTCTGTAACCCCTGCAATTATATGCCATTTTACAGGCGATGGGTCTTGAGCAGTAAGACAGGATGCTTAGAGGTGTCACCAAACCTGTTTTGGGGTATTTGTATATCAATGGGGCAAATGTGCAGTAGCTTGTACAGGGGATGGTCTGTTTCCCAAGCTCCAGATATTTGTAACACCCTACACATTAAATGTTTGTTGGGAGAAATGTGAGCAGGGTGTGTTTGTCACAAGGCACCTTTCCTGTATCTTTTACAAATTTCTCTTGAGATGCATATTTAGTCTTTTGTCTTCTTTAGCTGTTAGGTCAATTGAAATGCATATATAGCTGCCTTGCCTTCACTGGCTCTCTTACACACACACACACACACACACACACACACAC